GGTGAGTTACCTTCCAGTAGGAGTGGGTCGAAGGCACCAATGTCGGCCCACCAGTATTGATTATAGTTGAGATGATTGTCTTTGTGATAATTGTCTAGTATGCCACTATCTGTTATGATTTATGTGCTAGTATGTTATGTTATTATGTGATAGTGGTAAGGGTGAAATAGTCCCCGAATACCGGTTGAAAGAGACCGAAGGGGAGACCAACACCCAGATATGCTAGGCAGTTACCGGTTGAAAGAGACCGAATGGGAGGCCAACACCCAGATATGTTAGGCAGTTACCGGTTGGAATAGACCGAAGGGGAGGCCAGCACCCATATATGCTAGGCGTTATGTGAATATTTATTATGTTGTATGGGGGAACTCACTAAGCTTTTTGCTTACGGTTTTCAGTTTTGTTTCAGGTCCTTCTTTTTCGAAGGGAAATGAGTCGGCACGGTAGCAACACATCACACACATGATTTTTCGCATATGAGATTCTTGGGATTTATACGCTGATGTTGTTTTATCATGACATGTTTTGACTATTGATACTTTGGTTTTGATATGAGTTGATACTATGGTTGTTTTCAGACAAATGGTTTTATAATTGTTATATTTAAAAATGAAATTTTTGGTCCTGAATTTTGGGATGTTACACTTCTGGCGGTAGTAGTTCGAGCGGCGGTGTTGGTTCGAGTAGTCGGAAGTTGTCGCATAGTGATTCAAGGTGGAAAGGGGTCGGTGGATCAAATAACTCAAATGTGTCATCAAATGGGTATAAGTCTCGACAGACCCATGGCCCCAAACAAAGAGATAATCGGCCTAATGATCAAAACAGGCCCAACTTTGACCAAAAGCCCAATTCTGATCCGAACCTTAAACCGAAAAAGGACCTGTCTAAAATTATTTGTTACCGATGTGATAAACCGGGCCACTTCGCGTCCAAATGTCCGGACCGACTCCAAAAACTCCAAGAAAGTAATTTTACCGAGCATGACGATGTCGATGAGACCGTATTTTTCACGAGACCGTGTTTTTAAACGAAGAAAGGTGATACCGTCTCGATACGACTCACAAGACAACGATGTGTGGTATTTGGATAACAGGGCGAGCAATCACATGACGGGAAACCGATTGTTTTTCTCCGAACTTTATGAAGGCATAACCGGGAGCGTTAAATTCGGAGGTAATTTGTGTGTAAAAATCAAAGGAAAAGGTGCTATACTTTTCCAAGGGAAGAAGGGTCAACAAAGGCTGATGACAGAGATTTACTACATATCAGATCTCAAGAACAATATTATAGCCGGGTGTGATATTCGAATGAAAGACAACTATTTGACCATGCCGATAATTGCTTATTAATGAAAGTACAAAGAACTCCAAACCGCCTTTATAAAATAAAATTACAAATTGGAGTACCTATTTGCCTTCATTCGAGACTAAGTGAAGATACGTGCAATGACATACAAGACTCGGGCACATCAATTTCGAGTCAATGAAAAAGATGTCCAAGAAGGGTATAGTCAAAGGGTTACCCAAATTTGATCATGAGAATCAATTGTGTGAGTCTTGCTTGGTGGGCAAGCAAACAAGAAAGTCATTCCCGACTATGACGACATACAAAGCAAAACGACCATTGGAATTAGTTCATGGTGATTTATGCGGTCCGATCACGCCGGAAACCAAGGGTCAAAATCGACATGTCTTCACAATAATTGATGATTTTCACAATTTATGTGGATTTATCTCATGAAAAAGAAGAGTGAGGCGTTTACACACTTCAAAAAATTCAAAGCTTTGGTGGAGAATGAAATTGGAAAGCCTTTGAAAGTGTTTAGAAGTGATCAAGGAGGTGAGTTTACTTCTCTTGAGTTTAATTCTTTTTGTGATCAAAACATAGTCAAACGCCACCTTACCATCCCATACCCTCCAGAACAAAACGGAATTGTGGAACGAAGAAACAGAACATTTATGGACATGACATGAAGTATAATTAAGGCAATGCATGCTCCAACTATTTATGGGGAGAAACGGTAAATCACTCTACAAATCTAACAAATCTACAAATCCAAACAACTCCATACGAAAAGTTGTATATAAGAAAACCGAATTTAGAAAATGTTCGTATATTTGGGTGTCTAGCACATGATAAAGTTGAACCATTTAATCTAAAGAAGTTGGATCCAAGATCAAGACCACTAGTGCATGTTGGTTCCGAACCGGGTACGAAAGCTTATCGATTATTTAACCCGACGACATAAAAAATAATCGTGAGTCGAGACGTTATTTTTGATGAAACCAAAGGGTGGGATTGGATTAAAGAAGCATGTACCAACGATGAAGAACCAGGCTCATTCATAATACCATGAGACTACCCAGAAGACGAGACGAACAACAATAAAGGAAACGACGTAAACAACGATCCAATTGAACCGATTGAATCAGATCACGAGTTTGAAGATGGAGCGGAAGTACAAGATAATGAACAAACAAGTCCGATCAACAATAGTGTTCAACAAGGATCTGTAAACCAAAGGCCCTCGAGAACAAGAATACCTCCAAGACGATTTCAATATTATAAGCTTGATCTTGATAATCTCGAAGAACTTCTCCTAATAACCAATGACGAGCCAACATCGGTTGAAGAGGCGAAGAGAGAACTGGAGTGGGTCAAATCCATGAATGCGGAAATCAATTCGATAAACAAAAATAATACTTGGACTCTCTTGAACAAGCCTATGGGGGTGAAGCCAATTGGACTCAAGTAGGTGTTCAAATTGAAGAAAAATGCAAACGGCACCATTAAATCATTAATAAATACAAGACAAGATTAGTTGCTAAAGGTTACGTGCAACAACCCGATATTGATTTTTCAAGAAGTATTTGTTTCGGTAGCTCGAATCGAAACCATCCGATTTCTTATAGCCTTAGCTGCTACTCATGGGTGGGAGCTTCACCACTTAGATGTTAAAACGACATTCTTACATGGAGAATAGAAGGAAACTGTTTACGTATCACAACCGGAAGGCTATATAAAGAAAGGCAGCGAGCATAAAGTGTATCGCCTTATGAAAGCACTATATGGTCTAAGACAAGCACCTCGAGCATAAAACACAAAGCTTGACGGGATTTTGAAGAGTATGAAATTTCAAAAGTGCATGAAAGAACCATCGGTGTACCGGAAAAGTGAAGGATCTAACTTG